TCAAGTATATTTTGAAGAGCATTGATTTTCATTTCTGTCTTCAAGCTTCTGAAACAATTTCCATAAAGTAACCAACCAGAAAACGTAACTAAAGTAGCATACTGATTTTTGACTGAATTTAAAAAAAAACTTTCCTAGAAGGAGAAGGTGATTAGAAAAGAACATAATCCTTTAGTTGGGATGACATGGAGTAGTATGTGCAGTTAACCACACACTTATTCAAAAAGACCAAATACATGCTGCGTCTCTGACCCTGCCTGAAGGGACTTAAATAACTTTTACAATAAAGACCTCAAGCCTGGGGAAATGGTAGTGATGACATGGTCCAAAATGAAGAGTCAGAAACTTCTCAGGTAGAATACTGTTTAATTTTTTTCTTCAGAGAGACTCAGTCACTATCGTTCAGGCATACAAGCTTGCCTACAAGCTCATCATTTCCTAACAGATGTACCTTCCATGGAAAATCAAGAGCAAACAAGGCAGGCACTGAGTGTTCCCAGTCACTGGAGGGGGGACAGGGGTCTGTGTACAAGGGACCGTCATAATAGATATATCATATATGCATAGTGCAAATGCCTTTAAGGAGACAGAATAAGTTAGTGAAGAAAATGCGGAACCACCGTTAATCTCCAGTTCTCGTAAAAAAGACACTAGATGGTGCTATGAACCAAGAAGTGTGTTGTTTGTTAAGGTGCTAAGGTGCGCCCGGGAGTGAAACTCTTCAGCTAGCACCCCTCCCGTCTCCTTGCCCTTCCCGGATCAGCACGCCACACCTTGCTTGTGAGAGACATTTGCCGGTCATAGCTTATGAACCAAATGAGAATTTATTTAACTGAACTTACATGTATTTCCAAACAAAACTAGCCTTGAGTTTGCTAATGACAGAGAAGCAAGAAGAGATGTGAATTTGAGACCAAAAAACCTCAGATATTTGGGGCACAATCCATACCCAATTGAGACTGGGCTCTTTAGGGATAGGAGACAGCTACGACTAAGGGCTTGATTGGCAGCCATGTTTGTTAAGGAAGCACATTCTTACAAATTCATCTGAGGTGAAATTGTATATATAAAGAAAGATAAAGTCATTTCTCCTCTTTCCTACTATTCTTTCTGAAGGGGTACCCTTGTGGAAAATCTTTTTCATCAGTTTAGCATTGAATAGACATTTCCAGAAACAACAATTTGCCTCATTCTCCTACTTCTGCTCACTAGCAGAAAGCTTTTCACAATCGGGTTATTGTAGATCCACTCAGGTTCCTGGGACAACAAAACAGTTTAGCAGTTGGCCTCATGGACAGAAAAGATGCAAGGTCCTCACTGAGAAAAATATAAGCTTATACAATATTTGCAAAAATGGAGTGTGAGACAGGTCAGTGGGGAATGACAAAGAATAAACATGATTTCAGTATATCTTACTCTGGTACTGAAAAATGACGTTGGTGTAGACCCTGAAAAATCTGCTTCTTATTTTTAGTCTATGTTAGAATTCAGAAGTGATCAATCACAGTAATTTTTCAAATAAATCTAAACATATAAGTTAGTAATTGTCCTCATAGGATATATTAAAGTTGGTTGTAGAGTAAGCCATTTTTGAACTTTGAAGTTATATTTTCATTCTGATAGCTACAGAAAGCCAGAAGATTTGAGGCATCTGGGGTATAGTAGCTGTATTTGATTGGTGAAGATTGTAACTTGGTAACTGGATGTTATCAGATTAGCCTGTTATTCTTTCAAAGACCACCCAATAAAGTGTAGTCAGTTAAAGAAGTTGCCATTTCAGAGGGGAAGATAGTATTGTCTCTCCTAGCATCTGTCTGCTTTATATTAATATTTGTATAATATCAGAATTACTTTGGCTTTACTACAGAAATTACTTTGGCTTTACTACAGAGGACCAACCCAGGAATTTACCTGTTGATGAAAAAACAAAAGAAATAAAAGGACAGGAGACACCAGGGACTGCCACCAGGGGTCGGCACAGCCAAAGGCTGCAGCAAGCTCAGGGAAAAATAGCTACAAATGAAAATCTGCCAGCGTGAACCATGCCATTTCGTTTTCTCAGAGGCTGGGAGCGCTGTTGGAGCAGGAACCATGTTGCTGTTGGGTATCAGTAGGACCAGAACAGTAGATATGGGCTCAGTGTCTTACAGGCTCTCTTCTGTCTAAACACTTAGGAAGCAGCTCTGCATGTAGCAAAATTTAGTTCACATGGGGTTCCTTTTGTCAGTAAATTTGGGCTGCCCTGGACCCCACCACCACTATTAGTATAGTAAACTTTGTTTCACCCAATGTTGATTCTTAAATGATCCATCAAGGTAGAAATGTTCAGTTGTGGGTGAAAGCATGAATACTTAATTGTTTGGAGAGATTAAATTAAGCCACTGATAGTATGTCAACTAAACCAGAGTATAGATGTGTCAGGAAGCTTGTATTCTAGAACTCTCCTAAATTCTCAGACTTGTTAACCCTAGTGTAACTTCTGCTCCCGCTGAAGTCTTCTCCTTAGCCATCCTCTGGTTCCCTCCTTTAGCATGATAACCAAATGCTGCTCTAACAGAATTCAGATGAGGGCTTTCTTAAGAGTCATGTCCCTGAGGACAACAGGACCTAAAGGTGTAACTCCCACCTGCCCCACTAGAGTCTTGGATTTTTTGTTAACCAGTCAACCCCTAGCTGGGCAAGTGTTCTCCTTTGGCCATCAGCAATCCCCTTTATGATGTTTTAGTTTTGCAGTCATTATTGCCAACTCAGCACTCTCGTCCGTTTACTATCTAGCAATAGGGTTAATATCTGACCATTCAAAACATACGCTATACCAACATCCTCTTCCTCCTTCTCTTCTCCCTGTATATAGCTCCTAGATTTTACTGACAATCTGAATCCTTGTGTCCACCGCCCACTGTCCCTCCTTGTCAGCATCTCTTGCACATGGCCTCTGTTCTTATTCCAGCAGTGACTACACAAGTCAGTCAGCAGGGGCTCATCAACACTATTTTCAGCAACCTGCTCTCTTGTCTCTCCTGATGACCTTGCAACATGAACTACCTAGACACACCATGCGTCATTTCCCATCCAGTACCCATCAGGGTCTCTTGCAGCTTCAAGCCAGCGGATTGAAGGTTCTTCTGCTTCTGTCCATATAGTTCCATAATTGTGCCCCATTTCCTCACCCCCCAGAAAGATACTAATCCCTACCATGCACAATTTCTCCCATTCCCTACACTATGTCAGGTATCCTCTGGTGGCCTTTGGTATCTTTTGTGGTCACATCTTTTAGTCTTAAGAAACAAAAGGTACCCAAGAAAGACCACCTACGACACTGTAGTGCTAAGGAACAAAATCCTGTGCACATATACTCTAGACAAGTTTTCCACCACAGAACTACTGGCCCAGCCTACCACATGAGTGTGGGGAGTAGGGGTAGCGAGGACCCGGTACTCCAAGAAGATACTTGAGTCCATTTATTGTTCATATTCCTGGTCAAACAAACATCTACATTTATTTTCAAATTTGAGATGATCTCTGCTACTTAAGTGATTTAGAAAAAAAAAAAGTGACTTCATTTCTCAAATCTGCTTCCTCAGCTGGTAGACCTGCTTTGTGTTTTTATGAAAAACAAAAACAAATAAACAAAAAAATGAAACTGAGCTACTTATTCTGTACTGGACTCTATTATAAAAACATACTATACCTGATTTCATCCTTAAGTCCCCTAGGGATACTTTGCTAACTCTGTGTTAGACTTAAACCTACTCAGAAGGCTGTAGTCTGTTGTCCTGGGCCTAGAAGGTGTAGGAGTAAACTGGGCATAGTAAGCAGGTTCACAAATGTCTTTTCTGTTCCTTCCAGTGCTCAGGAGCCATAACCTGTGAGGGTGAACGTCTTACAGTCTGTGACCTTTAGCTCCTGTGTAAGGTTGGGATGTACTCCAAGCCATATCTTAACAACTTGTAAATTGCTGTTAAGCAGTCAGCCTAGGTCACTGCTTGCCCTGTAGTTAAAAATTGACAACTTTTAGAAACACTGTTTCACAGAAGACTTCCTGGTATTCTGGTTCTTACCATCTTTCCACCCCTTCTTCCTCAATGTTCCCTCAAGTACAAGAGTTATATTGTAAGTGTATCCATAAGGGCTAGGTACCCCCATGGCCAATTGTTCTCTATATTTTGACTAGATAGGCTTTCTCCAGTGGTCTCCATTTGTTGCAAAGAGATGAGAGCTACAGTTACTGTGAATATAAGGATGAATACAATGCAATTAGAAATTATGCTGGTTTAGTAAACTGATGATGAAAAGTTCTCAAAGATCCATGACCTCACTAGCCCTGGGAAATTGGGTAGGCTTCTGGTACTAGGCATGATTTCATCTTGTTGAGCAGGCCATAAGTGAAATTAGAGAAGTTGTTGGTTGCCACCAAGATATGGGTACCACTATTGCACTGTTATATCTTGCCATGCAGGACATTGTTATTACATTCATAGGTGTTACAGCTGAGTAGGACTGTTGGTTACTTTCTTCCCTTGGTAGCTTTTACAGCACCTTTTGGTATAATGACAGCTAACCCTCATGGAGGAAACTTTCAAGTCAGATCCAACTTCGGTACTCCAGGTCTTATGTCGAAACTACATGGTGTCTTTAGTAATAGAGACTTACCTTCATCCTCTGGAACATAACCAGGCCAACTGCAATAGCCTTTATTGTTTTGAGGGTGTCTTGACCTCCCCTGATCAACAGCTCAAGAAGGGGGTTTCTCCTGCCTGGTACTGGGGTTTGTGTTAGTCTCTAGCTCTTATAAACAGCATTGTCAGTCCAAGTGGGATAACTTCATTTTAAACCATATATGTCGACATGGATTTCTGTATTGTGTGTAATTAATATGATTTCATAGTATTTTAAAAATATTGTTTGGTTTGAGAGCCTGATCACCCAAGGATAAGCATTTTGGTGGAACTCTACACCCTCATTGACATTTCTTTCTTCTCTTACTTTTTTATGTGCAGAGCATGGTTTTGGCCTTCAACTGCTAATGAACGATATTAACTCGTCCTTGGAAAGCCTTAACTCAGCTTGCAACATGCAGTCCGACACTGACACTGTGCCCCTTCTTCAGAATGGCCAGCATGCCAGCAACCAGCCAGCAGCATCTGGCTCACGGAGCCAGCAGCCGCAGGCATCCCCAAAGCAAAAAGTGCAGCGTTCCCAACCTGTCCATATTCTCCCGATCAGGTGGGCCCAGAAAAGGTAAAGTCATCACATCTTCTACTTCTCCAACTTCAAAATGGTAATGGGGAATGACTGTAAAATCAAGTTAAATGAGTGTTTGTCAATAGCAAGTACAGTTGTCACCCTATAATCTTGGGGGAAATGAGCCACAACCCTAAAGCCAAAGCACAGTCCTGAGCCTCCTGTTTACTCTAGTTTTCCCTACACATACATACCAACAGTGAATTCTAGCTTATAAATTAGATAGAATAAGATGTACAACAACAGTTAATAGTAAAACAGGACAGTTGAAACACTAATGGAAGTCACATGAGTGGGTCCTACCCTTATGATAGTGAGATGGCACAGTGTGATAAGACAGAAGAAAGCAAGTGGAACCGGTGTTATCATATTGCCAGGCTGCTTTTGACAGTCTGTGTTAGGTATGTTATCAGAATTTTCAAATCGTGCCTATACCAGCTGACTTCAAAAAACTAAAAGTGCAGCTCTCAATAGCCCTATGTAGACTACTCAACATTGGAGTATTTGGTGTGAACTTGCTGCCTGGCTTAGCATCTGTACATTTTCCCAAGCTCCTACTTCACAGCAGACACCATGACTATGCTCCAAGTTCCTGTTCTTCAGGGTAGGGGATCTGTAGACCAGCTGCAGTGTCCTCCAGGGCCTAGTCAAAAAATGTCTAATTCCAAACCTCAGTGGTGGTTCTGTTCTGGCCTTATCCCTAGGGGACTAAACAGGAAAGCATGTCTGTGTTGGCAAGAAGAGAGGACTGGGACCTTGAGGGAACTTCCTGGGAGGTGACAGGTCTCTGAGCTGAGTCCAAGCTAGTGAGAAAGTGGAAGGTTGGAGAGAGGAAGCGAAGAGCAGACTCTAAAAGGCTTCTGTACCCTTCCCAGCAACTGAACAAAGGAAGGTTTAGAATATACAAGAGAGGATACATTTTAGTTTAGGCAGCACAATTCTGGCTTTGAGGGTTGTAGGGCAGGAGGAAGGTCAACATGGCTGCAGAGAATGTACTGATATGAAAGCTGCCTGAAAAGCCCACAGGCCTGCAGGTGATGAGGTCCCCATATGAAGAAGGGTGTAGTTAGTTGAGGGTACTGCTGAGCAAGAAGCAGTCCTGTTCTGTAAATATGCCCCTTTTGTGTGGACTTAGAGAACAGGGAATAATGGAAAGTAGCTGGCTTTGTGTTGAGAAGAAGCAAGGAGGGTAATTAGAGTGTTCAGATGATGGAGAGCCCTATAGTCATCTCTGGCTTATGAAACCCAGCCAATTTGAGGAAGACAGCTCTTGAGGATCCCTGCCTTTGCCTGGCCCAGTCTCAGGACTCCCATGAGTTTCAGGCATGCATGACCGAGCAAGGATGATGAGCTCTTAATACAAGCCTGCCTCTTTGGGAATTCACAGATGTGTGTGCAGTGGACTGTGCTTGGGTTACTGCCCAGCCTCTGTCCAGCTGGAATTCTAGTGGCTATACTTTCTCAGCACTGCCTATTCTGGAATGTTCTACTCTTCCTTGCTTCCAGAAACTTCTAAAAGGGTTCTCTATGGTCTGCCATCTTACGTTTTCTATAGCCTCAGTAGCCATCTTCCCTTAGATCCTCTTTCCTAGGAGGTGGTGAGGGGTGCTGGCCTCCTAGTCAGCTGCCTTTTAGGCTTTCTGCTTTTTGTTATATTCATGGGATGAATTGACTCTCTCACCCATTTCTGTTTTCTTTTGAGTCTGGAAGGGAAACTCAATCGTTTGCAAGTTTTCCCAGGTTCAAGGGTGCTGGCTACCCATCCAAAGCTGCCTTGAGGGTGCCCCAAAATGAAGGAGGTTTCTTACCAGAAGAGAAGGGGCCCAAGAGTGGGTTAGGAGAAGGGTAATGCCAGAAATCTCTCTAATGAGAGTTCATATGTTGTGTGGGACATTTCAGGTTCTAAACTTGTCATTTCTGTGATACCACTGGTGTCTCTGATCAGTAAGACAGCAGCACTGTTACAAGGTGACAGGCACCTCCTTCCTTACTGCTACATGCTCTTCTCTAATTCATAAGTGGCCCTGTCTCTCACCATCAAGTGAGACTTGTTTTAAATGGTAAGAACAGAATTGACCATGCTCTATAAAGTGACACATGTGTTGAGCAATGAGGAATAGACTCCATGATGTTTCTCATTTAATTAACTGGAGTCATTCTCACCAAGTCTCTGAGGTTGTCCCTTTGGGTCACTCTGAAAACCCAGGTAGAAAAGCTCAGGCTCACATCAGAGATAGGGTCCTGGGCTATGACAGGGGAAGGGAGAGTTTGCTCTCCAGCCTACATAAGGAAGCTCTAGAGCAGTAGTTCTCAACCTTCCTAATACTGCAACACTTTAATACAATTCTTCATGGTGTGGTGACCTCAACCATAAAATTATTTTGTTGAGACTTCATGACTGTAATTTTGCTAATTTTATGAATTGCAAAGTGAATATCTGATACACAGGGTATCTGATACATGGCCCACAGGTTGTAAACAGTTTCCCTGGAATGTCATGATGGGTGCTGGGTGCACACTGTGGATGGGTTCCCAGTGGCTCCCACAGGCTAATTGATGGAGCAGGAGGAGAGCTCAGGTGAGGGAGATTTCTCAGGTAGATGAGCAAGGCAAAGTTTTGGAAGCACAGCCACCTCCACCTCCCAGGCCTGGCAGTTTCGTAGCCATCTTAACATCCCTGAATCTCAGTGCCTCTCCACAGACACTTTGGCTTTGTAGCCTCAGGGACATATTCTTTTAATGTGGGCCCCTGTAACAGTGATTGCTTTCATCTTTGCATAATGCCCCTTAATTATGCTTCTGGGCAGTATCTGTGAAATGTTATAGCATTAAAAAAATTAATGAAGTTAGAAATTGAAATTATAAATTTTCAAAACACCCTAATAAAGAAGGAGGCTTTTGTGAGCTGCTGGGACATCAGAAACAGTCCTTGCTGGTTCTGTAGATCAAAGATGCTGAGGTTGAGACTGTTACAGGAAGAGCAGGATTTGTTAACAGTAAAAATAAGCTTCCTGCCACATCATCAAGCTGGTATAGGAACGACTTTCCCATGTGTCACAACACAGATGTCCTCCCTGTCTTGGGAGATCTGGTATCTTAAAAGTCAGCGCATCATTTCCCTATCCACACATAATGGCAAGACAGATCTTTCTTTGAAGTTGGAAACTGGTTGGTAAGGCCAGTGGTCACACAGTGAATTTTCAAATAGCAGTTCTCCCAGGAAGGCTCATGGATAAATAATCTTATCAAATTGTAAAAATATTCAAAAAAATTACTTGAAGATAATATACAAAAGGTAGCCCCCAGAGTTTTCTGAAATAAGAGGAGGGACAGACTCTGCCCCTCCTGAAAGAAAGGCTCTGTAGACAGTGGGGGGCAAAGGGGGAAGGTAGGTAGATGGGTAGGTGGGTGGAATGAAGTGTGTCTCCAGGAAACCCCAGTAAATGTGGTCAGGAAGTCACTAGCAGGACTCTACAAAGAAAAGCACTGGGCATTTTACATCGGTTTTAGCTTTTGACATTGAACTTCGTTTTTATGCTATTTTCCTGGTTATACCCAATTCATCATCCATTGCCTAATGGTGTGAACCAGTGAGCTTTGGATTTTTCAAAGGAGGAAAGGAAGGAGAGGTGAATCTGCCGAAGTGCCAAGGAGTACAGAGGAGATGTTGAATCGGTAAGGACACTCCAAGAAGATAGCTACATGAAACTTTGATTTCCAGTTCAGTACTAACCACCTTTCTGTACAACCTGATCGTTTTCCATGGTTCAGATGAAGAGACGTGAAACCTCCTCTAGGATTAGATATTTGTTCATTTCAAAGACTTGAGGAAGTTCTGTTCTCATGAAGCTGCCTTCATTCACAAAACCTTTTTACATATGGGATACATGTTGAGCAGATGGCCTACAGAATATCATGTGCCAGGCAGCAAAATATAGGTAGTGCAGTAGCCACTTTAAAAGTGTCTGAACACTCAGAATTGATGGCCAGTCTCTGCAATATTCTCATCTTATAGAATAGAAACTGTACTCACTAACTAGCAGCTCCCCCTCTCGCCTCTGTCCCTGGCAACTACCATTCTATTTTCTGAATTCTACTAACTTGTATGCCCTGCACAAGTGGAATCTTCCCGGTATGTGTCCTTCTTTTTCTGCATTATTTCTCTCAGCATAATACCCTTAAGGCTCACTCAATTTATAGTGTATGCCAGAATATCCTTTCTATGTCAGAATATCCTTTCTTTATTTGGGGGGTAATTCTCTTTTTAAGGCTACATGATATTCCATCACAGAAACACACCACATTTTGCTATCCTATCCATTCATGGCTGGACAGATGGGTTACTTCCCAATTTTGTCCATTGTGAATGAACACAGGTGTGTGAGCATCTACAGAAATCCTACGTTCCACTTTCTGGGGCATAGATGCAGCAGCAGCTGTGCTCCGATGTGTTAGGGTGGCACATGTTAACAGGTGTTGGCCTCCTTCCTTGCAGGCGTCTTCAGGAGGAAGACCAGTTCAGAACTTCATCTCTTCCTGCTATCCCTAACCCATTTCCGGAGCTTGGGCCTGGGAGTCCTCCCGTGGTTCCTCCGAGCTCCTTGCCTCCTCCTCCAAGCCAGCCTCCTACCAAGCAGGTGAGTGGTCCTTAGCTTCAGCACAGTGATGCATTTCTTTGTGGAGAAAGGTGGGAAGTTCTTTAAGTTGATATTGAACTGATATCTCATGAGTTCTTATAATTGATTGGTCAAAATTCAACTTGCTAAGTTAGGAATGTGTGGGCATAGTTTGGTGAAATTTCATTCATTTATTTGTTCATTTATGTAGGCAGCATGTGTGGAATCACAGTTCTTTCCTTCCACTGCGTGGGTCCCAGAGGATCAAACTCAGGTCCTCAGGCTTGGTATCCAAGTGTCTTTAGCTTCTCACCAGGCTGAGGAATGCATCACTGTGTTTTAAAGAGTCCTAACTATGTACTTTGTTTTGCTTTTTAATTAATGATTTGATGCGGTGTAGATGAATTTTAGTTCTTGTAAAGAAGTCATGCAACCAGGTCATCCTGGCCAGCCAGCCCTCTGCTATGGCACTGTTGGGCCTTCCTGTGCATCTACTTTTTCAATACAGTCAGAGTTTCCATCTTAAGGTCTTAACTTTGAATGTAGCCTACTCAGCCAAAGAATGGCCACTTGACCCAGGAGATAATTATTGCCCTTTTAAAAACTTAAGTTTCTCTTTTGAAGTGGTACTGTGGAATAGCGATCTAGCCCCCATGTGAAAAACTGCCCAGTGACAGCCACTTAGCTTATCAGAGACACTAGCAGGGGAATCCAGATACTTAAGACTCCCTGAGTAGAGGGCTGGGAGCAGGGTGGCCTGGGGTTCAGCAGGACAGCCCATCCCACTACAATATGGCTGAGGGTAAATATAACAGAGCCAGCAACTTAACACTGCGGCTCTCTTCTGAGCTGCTGCTGTGTTCACTTACTGCTAAAGTTGGCCCTGTGAAATCAGATCAAGTGCAACTGTCTCCTACAGTGTAGGAAACTGAGGCCACTGTCAGCATGGAGCTTTGTCTGACCTGGCTTCCAGGCCAGAGTCCTCACAGGCTTCCTGCCACCTTAAACCACTTTTTTCAAACAAATGTGGTTTAGAGGATTCTGTGTTCTCCCATTTGCCCAGCTCTGCTGTTCTCTGACACAGGGAGCTAGCCAGCCCCATCCTCTGCAGTCTGGTGGCATACAGCACCAGGCTCTTGAGCACCAGGCTCTTTTCTAATACTCGCTGGCTTTGGAACACTGCTCACCCTGAGCGCCTCTCGAGCCGCCCACATTACAGCACTGTCAGACTTAGAAGGTGAGGTCAGTGTTCCTTGTCTGGGAGCCAGCACTGTCCTGGCTTCTGCACATGGTCACATGCTGAAGTGCATCTGGGCTGTCTACCTCCCTGGTGACCTTCTGCCTTGAGTAAGGATCCTGATGAGCGTGTATGGTTTGTCCCCGAGGTTGTTTACAAGTTTCCTGTCCTGAAGTAGACCACAAAAGTACTGTCTGGCCCTCGCCTTGGCTGGCAAGAAAATGAGCCTCCTCCCCACCGATTGTCCAAATTTGTAAGAATAAGGAAACCCGGGAATTTTGCCTGCTTGTGTTTTTCTTGGGATCAGAGTTGGCTCCTCATAAGAACAGTGCGCTGGCGTGTTTGTCGTCAGATTCCTCAAGCCGACTGGGACCAGTGAGAGCAGGGAGGGTGGTTCTCACTTGTGGAAGGCCATTGTTCTTCGTGGCTGTTTTTATTTTTGTTTTATATTTATTTTTTGGTAACCTCGTGCATGTAAATTGTGTATTTTGATCATTATCCCTCATTACCTTCTTTGATCCCTACTTGCTCTTTCTGAGTCTCTCCTTCCCCCAAAATCCCATTCTACTTTCATGTCTTTTCATTGTTGTTGTTAATTTTTTAATTACATCTATTTAGTTAATGGTGGGCACACATGTACTACAATACAGTGAGTGTAGACATCAAAGGGCAACTTGAAGGACTCGGTTCTCTATCCTAGTATAGATTCCATGGATCAAACTCCATCTCTCAGACTGGACCACAGGTGCCTTTACCTACAGTGGAGCCATCTCACCAGCCTTCTTGTTTTTATTCTGACCCATTGAGTTTTATCAAGGGTCAAGGTTATTCACTGAGCATGGGCAACTTATTAGTGGCTACACCACTGAAGAAAATGGCATAATATAACATAGGAGATTTGAGTTCACCTAGGTCATCTTCATGGCTGGGAGATATAACTCAACTTCCCATAAGTACCTGTAATCCTTTGACTTGTGGACACTGAAAATGACCAGGAGTGAAAGCTTCCAATTAGAGATTGCCATGTTGAAACCCAAACCTGCTAATGGTATCTTGTTCCTTCACCAGCTAGGGCTTGACAACTTCAGTGTTCCCAGGGCCTGGTCCTCATTCTTCACAGGGGCTGTGATGATAGCTTAGGGTGGGCTAAACCCGCTTGTTACCATCCCCAGACAACCACTGTCCTGAGTATAGCTTGTCTAGGGTACTGTGAACTCAGCAGCCTGGTGACACAGATCCTTGTCTAGAGGGGCATGGGAGACCCCATATCAACTGAGGACTGCCATGGTTGCAGATGACAGTGGTAGTAACATGGCTGCTGGATTTATGGATTCCCAAGCTGTCTGAGCCACTGTCAGGATATATTTAGCTGCAGAAAACCAAACCTGGCTGGCTTCCTTCATGAGGACACAACTTTCATGGGATAGAATATCTGGGGCAGAAAGCCGAAGCTCCCTTGGCCTTGTTCCGTGTTGTGGAACTTGCACACTGTCTCTGCAGCTGGAGCTGGTGTGACCAAAGTTGGGACTGTCGTTCAGCAACAACCTTTTCCACCACAGTCAGTGAGCCAGCTGCTTGGACACATGTAGTGGTGAAAGGGGTAACTGAGGTACTATATGGGGTACCCCCAATGAATAGAGGACATGAAGAATAGGGGGATCACAGGAACTCAGAAGACATGGTCTGATTCATGCTAGGTAATACTGTAGACAGAAGCTTTTCTGAATTCATAACAGGCTCAGCAATGGCAGGCTTCTCTTTCTTCTGGCCAAGAGAGTTTCCTGTGACCACATAATGACTCGTTCAAGCATGTTTTTCCATTTGCTGTTTAAACACAATTAGTCTCATATTGTGCCCCATCATTAATGGGGCATAAATATTGTCTCAACTCCAATCAGTTCTTTTCTCTTTACTTAAGTTTAAAAATTAATTTTCTGAAACTAAATTAATGGCCTTACATAGGATTCCACTCCTGCATTTACTAATGACCAAAGTGGGGTCTTCCGAGGCTCTGTCATTCAGTGAATGTACTGCTACATGAGAACCCTATAAGTGGGAAAATCTAACCCTGGCCACCATGTGAAGAGTAAGCTGTCACTCCCCGAGGGCCTTGACCACACATTCACTAGTCTTCCCACTCTTAGTGTCATCTTTTCTAGTACCTTCTGAGATCAGAAGTATCAGGACTTAGACCTCACTGAAGTTTAGTTTTAGTTCTGGGCCCCTGCCTGAGGCAGATCGTGGCTGCTTAAAAAGAAGTCAGTGGATTGTAGCAGGTTTGGAACAGAGACAGGGATGTCCATCCCAAGTGAGACAGACAGTGGCAGCCTAGCATAAGACACACATTGGCTCATCCCATGTTCAAAGATGAAATCTTCTGTTTGACACATCCATTCCTTCTTCTGACCTAGTGATCACTCGTCTCTCTCCAGGGAGGCTCTGCCCGATGGCCTGTCTTCTCTGTAGGCCCAGTGTGTGGAGAGTGAGCCCTAGCTTGTGCATCAGAACTGGGCTGATGGCCTCTTCTGAGCAGCGGCACCTCTGAAGGCCTCAGTTCCCTGTCTGTCTGAGGAGGCCGATGTCTTTGACACTAGCCTAGCCTCTCAAACCAGTTGTGACGTTAATTCAGCACATAGGAAAATGTAGGCACAGTGCAGCTGCTTCCTATATTTAATACATACCTAATGCCACAGCTGCCACTATGGGTGCTTACTCCATCCTCATCTCCTCTTATGGAATAGAGCAGACCGCCAGAGAAATACTCAAATGTCAGCTAAGGTAAACAAAGGTCAAGGCCACTTTGCACGGTCAGTAACTGAAGTGTCAAAAGAATAGAATTCATATCTAAGACTACTCACATGTAAGCCTTTGCGCAAGTGAGGTGCCACAGCAAATCCCATGTAGCAAAAACAACTCTGAGTAAGCTGAACCTTCATAAAGTGTTTTATTAGGAGTATCCATGAACGTTTACCAAAAGCAACCAGGCAAAAACCGCCATCTTGGCCTGAGGATTTAGCTTTATGGTACAGCATTTGTCTAGTAAATGCAGGGTTCTAGGTTGGAAAACACGTACCTCCATAGTTAGGGAATTTTATATTTTCTCCCTCACTCATGGAGTTCACATTTCCTTCTTGGTTTTAGAGGACCCAAAAAAGTTATCAGGGAAAACTCAAGTTAGTCTAGAGCTTTTTGAATTTTTTTTTTAAAAAGCACTTTACATAATTTAAATATTTATTAAAATTCTATATTTTAAAAATACTTCCCACTGAGCCTATTCTGGATATGGTGCTGAATTGCCCAAGATAAAATGGTGAGGACTGCCCTGACTGTCACAGTTGATTGGTGGTGTTGCTAAGTCCTCAGAGCCCTGAGCGTTACAGCCCCTGGAGCCAGAGAATAATCCCTACTGCTTGGACGACGTGAGGTACCTTCATGTCTCTGTTCGCCTCTGAACAAATGATGCAATCACAGCAGGGAGTCATGACCTGGAGCAGACCATGTGCTTGGCTAAAAATGAGACAGGAAATCATCCCAGGAATCTCATGTGAAATCCCAGCCTAGTCTCTCCCTCACTATAAATATCTTATATAAATTCTATAAATTTGAGAGGCCTGACTGATTGCCCCAGCCTCAGATCTCTCTTATCTTGAAAGAGTACTGCAAACATGAGCCTTTAAATTTTATCTTTTTGTGGAAAGAACCCCATACTTTAGCCGCAGGAATGAGTCTGTGCCTCGCCTGCATATGGACCAACATGATAAGATCCTACTGCAGAATCATGGTT